CATGAATATCATAGTTCCTGTAGTCCTGCCTGATCCTTTTAAATTTTTTTTTTTTTTCCTCAACGTTTTTATTTATTTTTGGGACAGAGAGAGACAGAGCATGAACGGGGGAGGGGCAGAGAGAGAGGGAGACACAGAATCGGAAACAGGCTCCAGGCTCCGAGCCACCAGCCCAGAGCCCGACGCGGGGCTCGAACTCACGGACCGCGAGATCATGACCTGGCTGAAGTCGGACGCTTAACCGACTGCGCCACCCAGGCGCCCCATGCCTGATCCTTTTAAACAACCACACAGTGCTCACTGCATGAATTGCCCTTTATGTCAAAAACAAGCATTATTATTGAATAGACCAATTACCAGTAACAAATTTGAATCAGTAATCAAAAACTCCCAACAAACAGAAGTGTATGACCAGATGGATTCACAGGTGAATTCTACCAAACATTTAAGAAAGCGTTAATACCTGTTCTCCTCAAACTATGCCAGAGAACAGAAGAGGAAGGAAAGCTTCCAAATATATCCTATGAGGCCAGCATTACTCTGACACCAAAACCAGACACACTACAAAAAACTACTGGCCTATATCTGTGATGAACATACATACAACAATCCTCAACAAAATATTAGCAAACTCGGGGCACTTGAATGGTTCAGTCAATTAAGCAAGCATCCGATTCTTGATTTTGGCTCAGGTCATGATCTCATGGTTTATGAGTTCAAGCCCCACATTGGGCTCCACACTGACAGTGCAGAGCCTGCTTGAGATTCTCTCTCTCCCTCTCTCTCTGCCCCTCACCTGCTTGCTTGCTCTCTCTCTCAAAAATAAATAAATGAACTTAAAAAAAACTAACAAACTGCACTTAACAGTACATTAAAAGGATCATTCGACCATGATCATGTGGGATTGATTCTGGGAATGCAAGGATAGTTTAATATTCACAGGTCAATCAACATGACACATCAACAAAGGATAAAAATCACATAATCATCTCAGTAGATGTAGAAAAAGCATTTGGCAAAATTCAACATCCATTCATGATAAAAACTCTCAACAACACTTTGAGACGGAACATAGCATAGTAAAGGCCACACATGAAAAACCCACAGCTAACATCAGTGGAAAATCGAGTTTCTCCTCTAACATCAGGAACAGGAACAAAGAAGTCCACTGTTGCCACATTTATTCAACATAGTATTAAAAGTTCTAGCCACAGCAGTCAAACAAGAAAAAAAAAAAGGCATCCAAATTGGTATGGTAAGGAAAAAGTTAAACTGTCACTATTTGCAGATGACATGATACTATACATAGAAAATTTTAAAGATTCCACCAAAACAAATTATTAGAACTGATAAATGAATTCAGTAAAGTTGCAGTATGCACAATTAATACACAGAAATTTGTTGTATTTTTATACACTAATAACAAAGTAGCAGAAAGAAAAATTAAGAAAACAGTTCCATTTTCAATTGCACCAAAAAGAATAAAATACCTAGGAATAAACTTAACCAAGGAGGTGAAAGACCTGTACTCTGGAAACTATAAAACTTTGATGAAAGAAATTGAAGCTGAAACAAATGAAAAGATATTCCATGCTCATGGATTGGAAGAATTAATATTGTTAATAATGTCTCTACTACCCAAAGCAATCTACAGATTCAACACATTCCCTATAAAAATGCTAACAGCATTTTTCAAAGAACACATAATCTTAGAATTTGTACTGAACCACTAAAGACCCCAAGTAGCCAAAGCAACATTGAGAAAAAAAGAGCAAAGCTTAAGGTAACACAATCCCAGATTCCAAGATACACTACAAAGCTATAGTAATCAAAAGAGTATGATACTGACACAAAAATAGACACATAGATCAGTGAAACAGAATAAAGAGCCCAGGAATAAATCCATGTTTCTATCCTCAATTAATCTATAACAAAGGAGGCAAGAATATACAATGGGGAAGAGTTTAAAAATAAAAAAATTAAGGGGGCGCCTGGGTGGCGCAGTCGGTTAAGCGTCCGACTTCAGCCAGGTCACGATCTCGCGGTCCGTGAGTTCGAGCCCCGCGTCGGGCTCTGGGCTGATGGCTCAGAGCCTGGAGCCTGTTTCCGATTCTGTGTCTCCCTCTCTCTCTGCCCCTCCCCCGTTCATGCTCTGTCTCTCTCTGTCCCAAAAAAAATAAAATAAAACGTTGAAAAAAAAAAATTAAAAATAAATAAATAAATAAATAAAAATAAAAAAATTAAAAACAGACATACCATATGAGCCAGTAATTCCACTATTGGATATTTACCCAAAGAAAAGAAAAACACTAATTAAAAAAGACATAAGCACTCCTATGTTTATGGCAGCATTATTTATAGTAGCCAAGATATGAAAGCAACCTAAGTGTCCTTCACAGGGGGGATGGACAAAATGGGTGAAGAAAAGTAGGAGATACAGGCTTTGGGTTACAGAAGAAGTCACGAGGATAAAAGATACAGCATAGGGAATATAGTCAGTGGTATTGTAATAGCATTATATGGGGACAGATGGTAGCCACACTTGTGAATGTAGCATAGCATAGACTTGGTCATTGCTATGTTGTACACCTTAAATTCATATAGCATCTTGGTCAGCTATACTTCAATCAACCACTAAAACAAACATCGTATAACGTTGCATTTCCTAGCTGGGTTTCTATTTTATGCACACCAAAAAGAAACAAAGGTGATAGTTCTCTGCAAGGCTTTTAAAAACTTTCCCCTAGCAGCAATCCAGGTGCCCTGGACCTTGCCAATCTCACATGTTTGCTGAGTGAAAAAGCCAAAGAATTCCTCGTGGAGAACAAAGTACAAACCTTTTACCGGCAGGAATTGGAAACTGTGGAATCTCTGCTGTCCCTGGCCAGTCAGCCTGTGACTCACAGCTCCTGCTCTGAGCAGGTAAGTGCAGCATGCCCATGTGAGAATTCAAGTCCCCTGTCCCATGTCTGCAGCTGAAGGGTGTGGGGGAACATGACTGCGGCATTAAGACTCAGAGGGTAGGGGAGCATTTACTGTCGGGGTGGCTCATTCGGTTAAGCGTCCAACTCTTGATTTCAGGTCACGGCATGACCTCAAGGTTCATGGGTTTGAGCCCCAGGTTGGCTCTGCACTGACAACGTGGGGCCTGCTTGGGATTCTCTCTCCCACTCTCTCTCTGCCCCTCCCCTACTCACATGTGCACATGTGCTCTCTCTCTCTCTCTCTCTCTCTTTCTTGCTCTTTCTCTCTCAAAATAAATAGTTAAAAAAAAAAAAAGATTCACAGGGTAAATGCAGAGAACAGAGGTTATGGTTCTATTCAATGTTTTTTTTTAATTTTTAAAAAATTTTTATTTATTTTTGAGAGAGACAGAGACAGAATTTGAGTGGATTAGGGACAGAGAGAGAGGGAGACACAGAAACAGAAGCAGGTTCCAGGCTCTGAGCTGTCAGCACAGAGCCCGACACGGGGCTTGAATTCATGAGCTGTGATATCGTGACCTGAGCCGAAGTCAGACGCTCAACTGACTGACCCACCCAGGCGCCCCTATTCAGTGTTTCTGTTCTGGAACAGAACAGAACTTGAAATGAGAATATGCACCTGCCCTTTTACCCTCCTCACTTAATCTCAGTCAACTTAATCTTTAGGTAGGAAAAAACAAAAAGTCTAAGGTTCATAGTACTTAGATCTTTGTATTCACTGAGATGGATTTAATCTAAGCAGGAGCCAAATGAGGGGGAAATAAATGAGAAGAGGTAATTATCTTTCCAAGATTATTTATTGATCAGCAGGATGATTCTCGAACTGAACAAAGGTTTTTAATGACTTGTTCTCTCTTCATCAAAACAAGGTTAACCTGTCATGTTTTGAGAGTTTGAATAAAGACCCAAGTTGTATTCAGTCTAGTTTATAAGTAAAAATTTCTAGGAACACGCCAGAAATTTCCTACTCCTCCAGGAAAGAGCTGTCCCTTTTTTTCAGGTGAACTTAAGTTGTTTGGTGTTTACTTATTCACTTGGAAATGCTATTACTTGAAACTTTTGTTTTAGGCTCCCTTTCATTGCAATTCTTGGGTTTTTTATTGTTGTAACACAATTTATATTTACTAATTTTATTGATTCTACCAGGAAATGTCACCTTCTTATCTTCCCTATTTGCTCTGATAGCCACCTACTTCCTTACTATGTTATCACCCTGTTTTCATATCTCAGGATCTCACTGGTATTTATTTGTGCACCTGCCTATTCCTCGGCCAGAATTTAAATTCTGTAAGTGTGGAGGTCTTGCCTCTCTTGTTCTTTGCTCTCTAGAACCATAGCCTAGAATAGGGCTGCCATAAAGTAAGTTCTTTTTTTTTTATTTAATTTTTTTAATGTTTATTTATTTTGAGAGAGAGAGCACGAGCAGGGTAGGGGCAGAGAGAGAGAGAGAGAGAGGAGAGAAAGAAACCCAAGCAGGCTCCACACTGTCAGTGCAGAGCCTGATGTGGGACTCAAACTCACAAACCATGAGACCTGAGCCAAAATCAAGAGTTGGATGCTTTACCTAGACTGAGCCACCCAGGTGTCCTATAAAGTAAGTTCTTAATGATCATGTGTTGGTTGAAGGAAAGAATAGTTTTTTAAAAATTTAAATGGTCCCTGGAGTGCCTGGTGTCTCAGTCAGTTGAGCGTCTGACTCGTGATTTGGGCTCAGGTCATGATCCCAGGGTCATAGGATCAAGCCTCGTGTTGGGCTCCGTGCTGAGTGTGGAACCTGCTTAAGATTCTTTCTTGCTCTCCTTCTGCCCCTCTCTCCCCTGCTCAGGCACACTCTCTCTCTCTCTCTCAAATAAAATTTTTAAAAAAATTTAAATAGTCCCTGAAAGTATCTAGTTAAAAGTAAGTTTCCTTCCCATCCTCCCTCCTACCCCCTTTCTCCAGAGATAAGTATCATTACTAGTCTCATGAATATTCTTCCAGTGACAGTCTGTGCATTTGTTAACTAGAAGTAGTTCTATCCCCTTTTTTTTACACAACTGGTGGCATGCTAAACACTAATCTGTACCTAGCTTTCCATGTCTAGCATGTCTTACAGATCCTTTCCTAGCCATATATATAGATTTGCCACTATAATAATCTTTTGTTACATGTACCATAATTCATTTAACCATTCTCTCCATTTCTGGCATGGAAGTTTTCCGATCTTTTGCCATCCCAACAGGGCTGCCTTGAATAGCTCTGATAGGTAACATAAGTTATTCCTTGTGATTCTGGTGGAACAGGTAACAGGTCCTCATCTTGACCTCCGAGGCATGACCACTGCTTCTCAGTTTCGTTCGTGAACCTAATTATCTCTTCCTGGCACCTGGCTGTGTGCCCGGTGACCCACAATTTCATTCGCAGAGATGAGGTATTGTGTTTCAGGAAACAGCCAGGTGGAGAGGGTCAGGACTGGCCACTTTGTTCTGTGCCACTGTTGCTTCTAAGCAGTTGGGGCTGTCCAGCTGTCTGCAGACAGCAAGATTAACCTTCTTCCCATTTGGTCATTTAGAGGAGGCTCCCTGCCAAGTCAGCCTCCTAGCACTTTTGACCACTCTGTTGGCATGTTCTGAAGGAAACTTTGAAGCCGAGCAAAGACCACATTCTTCCCATGAACCCACTCTTCTGTAGAGAGACTTGAGGATTCTCTGAGGGCTCCTCCATTCAAAACAACCGTGGGGAACTTTTGGCATGATATCTTTTTGAAAATGCTTAGAGCAGAAACTTGTGTCTGCCCAGTCATGTATGTTGAAAAAGAAATGAATGTGGCACTTTGTTTTGTCTTTGGAAACTATTTTCCCATCAATTATGGATTATTCCTTCACATGACTCTGGGGAGGTCAGTGTCATTAAATTGAATTCTGTTTAAGAGAGCCTGGGAGACTAAGGATGCTTTACAGTGATGGTGAAACCCTAGATCCTTCAGCACTTTTCTCTTGTCATACAGATGAAAGCTTCACAAAAAAATCATTGTGATAGTATTATAGTTTAGAGGCAAGGGAAGAGTGGGTTTCAGTGTTTTCCCCCTTTCTTTTTTTCCATAGTGGCCCTTCATAGCAAATCTAGAAACATGATAAGCAGACCTTGCAAAACCATTGTTTCTTTGACAGCTGGATAAATGTGGTTTGTTTGGGAATGAGGACTCTATATATATTTCAGAGATCCACCCAGTTCCTGACCTGGGGCTAGGAGAAGCCTGCTAAGTCTCAGCACGGTCAACCAGTCACTGTTTTTGTCTCTGTGCAGTTTCGGTTTCCTGAATCAGATGAGCCCTGTCATTGCTCTTTGGAAAAAGACAAGAAAGACATAAATCCCAGGCCAGGCAAAGCTGCTGGCCAGAAGAGATGATTGGAGGCCTTACCCTTGAGACTGTGACTTTATAACCAGCAGGGAGATATGTCTTGGGGTCAGCCGAGGCAAATGTTTTTGGAAAGGAAGCTTCGCACATTGTTTATATTTACAGAGAGCCTTTTCTGTTGGGTCCTCCTCCTTCACAGCTGAAACTGCTTTTAATCTCACGGTGCTAGCACATGTCTTCCTGCTGCCTGAGCTTACTGAAATCAGGGAGGAGGAACCGAGCTTTCTGTGTGGGCTGGGGATAACCAGGAGTCCTTTTTAATGATGGCAGTAACCATGTAACAATCATTTTTAGTTTCCAGTTTATTTCTATCTTGATAAGAGACGTAATAAACTCGATCCTTAGGGTCCTTATATTAAATTGACTGAAGAAGATGAATTTCCTTAGAATTATGAAGATTGAGCAGTTGTAGAAGTTTTGTGGGAGAGTCTGTTTTCGGTTGACAGTGCTTCCCCTAAGTAAGGGCACTCAGCTTTGCCTGAAGCCCCCCCCCCCCCCCCCCCCCCCCCCCCCCCCCCCCACCGCCCCTGAATTAAAAGATGTATGGCTGAGAATTGTTAGGTAAGATGTTTATTCTAACAGATTGATTTTCTGCCCGTGGGAGTCATCACATAGTTGTTGGCCTTATTCTGCCTTCAGAGAATGGGTGCTGTTGTAACCTGGAATGTTTGTTAACTTTTTAGGCCCTAATATTCTAATGATCAGGTGCTCTAGCTTGTTGAATATTAATTAAGAATGTTAGACTGTCCTCTTCAGCCCAGGGGAGCATATCTGTGTACCATCACTAGGATCCTTTAGATTAAAACAGTGCCTCTTTAGAAGGCCTCTTCTAGAAAGAGAGTGTTTCTTTAGGGATGCAGTTATGAATGCTCGAGGCCGTTGGGGGTTTCTTTCCTTTCCAGTCACTTGGAGGAAATGTCATCAGCAAATCACAAGCACGTTCTCTCTTTAGCATCTGTGGGAACTGCCCCAGATAGCCTTCACGAGCATTCTTCTTAAGGGGTAGGACTTTGCCTTTAAACACTTTTGTAGAAGCTTTGCCTTGTGTCTTTGGTGGTCTCATCTTTTAAATATCTTGACAAATTTCTGTCACGTTAAAAATGGATCTGGGGGCGCCTGGGTGGCGCAGTCGGTTAAGCGTCCGACTTCAGCCAGGTCACGATCTCGCGGTCTGTGAGTTCGAGCCCTGCGTCAGGCTCTGGGCTGATGGCTCAGAGCCTGGAGCCTGTTTCCGATTCTGTGTCTCCCTGTCTCTCTGCCCCTCCCCCGTTCATGCTCTGTCTCTCTCTGTCCCAAAAATAAATAAACGTTGAAAAAAAAAATTAAAAAAAATTAAAAATAAAAATGGATCTGTACCTTGAAGAACAGTTGTTCACCACTTAACTTTGTTTTAGGAATGGACTGAAGATCCCCAGTGGAATAATAAAAGGGATACAGCCTCCATAATGGGGTATTTATTTCCCATTCATTACACAGATATCTTATTAGTTATCTGTTGTGTGCCAGGGAGGAGGTGGCCAAGTTGAAATAAAGTCCCCGGCTCGGTAAGCTTGCAGTCTAGTTAGGCATGGTGGGACACAGTTGAAGGCCTAGCTTCCTTGGAAATAAGACATAGGATGAACCTGGTAATTTGTCTGGGTAAACCGTATCTTAGAGAAGAGGAGAAATGTTGAAACTGAGGAGATAGAAAACTGACAACAGCCGAGGTTCCTTCCATGTGGTCTAGAACCCCCTCTGCCTTCAGCCCCATGGACCCGCCTTTGACAGGTCTCCACATAGCTATTTGCCTCTCTTTAAAATTAAGTTGGAGGGGCACCTGGGTGGCTTGGTTGAGCACCCAATTTTGGCTCAGGTCATGATCTCAGGATTCCTGAGTTCAGGCCTCACATCGAGCTCGCTGCTGTTAGCACAGAACCTGCTTTGGATCCTCTGTCTCCTCTCTCTGCCCCTGCCCTGCTTGCACTCTCTCAAAAATAAAATAAAAATTAAAAAAAATAAACATTAAATAGACTACTTAATACTTTTTATATCCTGGAATCCCCAACTTATTTCAATATGTGTAAAATTCCCTGAAGTCCTTAGGAAGAGATTACATATAGCCATAATTTTAATGAAAAAACTGACCTAATATGTATATAATGCTTTGGACCTGAATTAAAAAAAATAAAATCAAAGATTATCTTTTTGTTTAGGAAACAGTTCTATCAAAACCCACATGGGAATAGAAGTAATTTTAAATGTTCAAGACGTATAAACCACATACTTAAATTTAAGTATTATCTTTTTGATTTTCCATTTCATATTGTAGAATTAAGTTAAAAAAAACAAACCCACAACCAAAGTATGGAACAGTTATCAAGCATGATCCTGCCTGAGCAAACTTCCCAGGCCTCCTTTTTTTTTTTTTTTTTTAAATTTTTTTTTCAACATTTATTTATTTTTGGGACAGAGAGAGACAGAGCATGAACAGGGGAGGGGCAGAGAGAGAGGGAGACACAGAATCGGAAACAGGCTGCAGGCTCTGAGCCATCAGCCCAGAGCCCGACGCGGGGCTCGAACTCACGGACCGCGAGATCGTGACCTGGCTGAAGTCGGACGCTTAACCGACTGCGCCACCCAGGCGCCCCTTCCCAGGCCTCCTTAAATGTCACCATCCTGCTAGGCCACATACCTGGATCTTTTTGACTCAGCAGATTAAAAGCCTGTTGGGTGAATTCATAAACCAGCTGGTCCAGGGAGTTACTCTTAGATGCTGTAAGATGGGACTTACCTCTTTTCTTCTTTTTCTTTTTCTTCTTCCTACAGGTGGATGTTAAGAATGAAACCACTTCCAAGGCAATTCATAGTATATTTAAGAATGCTATACAGCTGCTGCAGGAAAAAGGATTTGTTTTCCAGAAAGATGATGGTTTTGATAACCTATACTATGTAAGAGACCTGCAACTTTATTTTTTTCCTTCCTACCTTCAATCACAACTGTATTCATTCCTTAAGAATACCTAGAATTCCTATTTACTGTTTTTAAAAATCATTAAGGAGGTATGTAAAATGAGGAGCAAAGGACAGCCTCATCTAAGGTGCCATTTGTCCTTGTAGACACTTGTCTGTGCATTTACACATGTACATCTATAGATGCTTCTGTGCCTTTTTTTGTGATTATCCTATGGATCAGACTTCTCAGCATTAACACTGTTTGGGCCAGATGGTTCTTTGCTGTAGGTGGCTTTCCTTTGCACTGTAGGATGTTTGACAGCATCCTGGCCTTCATTCCCTAGAGAGCAGTAGCAGCCCACTCCCCCCACCAGGTGTGACAACTTAAAACATCACAGGACATCGCCAGGGGTGCCCTGGAACAGTTGAGAACCACTGCTCTAAATAATGCCTGGCAGGGAGCCTGGGTGGCTCACTCTGTTAAGCATCTGACTCTTGGTTTCAGCTCAGGTCATGATCTCACAGTTTCATGAGTTCAAGCCCCACATCAAGCTCTGCGCTGGCAGCATGGAGGCTGCTGGGGATTCTCTCTCCCTCTCTCTCTGCCCCTTCACCACTTGCACTGTCTCTCTCAAAATAAATAAATAAAAACTTTAAATAAGTAAACAAGTATTGCCTGACAAGTTTTGGGGGTACCAAAATAGCACGCCACGGGCATCTTTCCATGTTAGTACTTATAAATCTTCCACAATCTTTTTGACCTTGCGTGGTATTCCATATTCTGGGTACTTGCCATACACTTTTAGCCACTTCTTTCTGATGGACATTTATGTTGATTCTAACTTTTGCTCTCACAGATAGTGTTGCTGTTGCTATGTTTGCATAACTCTCTTTGTGAATTCATGTAAGCATTTTGGTAAGATTCGCTCTTAAAGAGGAATTGCTGGAGCAAAGGGCATGTACCTTAAGCATTTGGCCAACACAGTCTGATTGGCCTGCTAGAAGGCTCTACTAATTGACATTCCCACCAGGGGTACAAGCGCTTGCTTGCCTCATAACCTCCAGAGTTAAAGGTTCACCTCTCACTGCCTACCTTTAATAATTGAAGGAGCCAAGCTTTCAGTAAAAACAGGCTTTCTCATGACTGTTGCTCGTAGTGTAGATGTGGCTTCAGTCATGAGCAATTCTAGAGGCAGTTCAAAATTGTGAGGACTCCTAGAAGTCTCTGTATTTACAGACATGATTCTTGAGGGGAAGCTTTCCTTAATAGGACATTTTCATGATGTTGATTTACTCTAGTTATTTCCCCACTTTAGAGAGCTTTTTTTTTTTAATTAAGATACGTTTTATTTAAAAAAAAATTTTTTTTAAGTTTATTCATTTATTTCCAGAGGGAAAGAGAGAGAATGCAAGCAAGGGGGAAGGGCAGAGAGAGGGAGAGAAAGAATCCCAAGCAGGTTTGCACTGTCAACGCAGAGCCCCCTGAGGGGCTCGATCTCACAAACTGTGGTATTATAACCTGAGCCGAAAATCAAGAGTCGGACGCTTAACCAACTGAGCCACCCAGGCGCCCCAATTAAGATATATTTAAATACTATTTGAGCAACTTAAAAAAAATTTTTTTTAAGTAATTTCTACCATGCAGGGTAGGGCTTGAACTCACAACCCTGAGATCAAGAGTCGTATGCTCTATCAACTGAGCCAGACATGTGCCCCTGAGTAACCTTTGAAAAGGGTATTCTGATCTTTGTAAGGTGGGTGCAGACCACCTCCTCCTGGCATGGAAAGGCCTAGTAGGGTTGGAGAATCCCATGCTAGGCAGCTCACCTCAACATGCCTTCCCCCACATCCCATCCCCTCCTCCCCCTCCCCTGGTAGGCTCCAGAGTTGGCCTTCTGTGTCTGCAGAAAGCAGCTACATGACTACAGGCAGCAGGCCAGGACTGAGGTGTGGCAGGGCTAGGGCACTTCCTCCTGTGAATCAGTGTGAACTGGAATGGGGTGATCAAGCAATAATGGCTCTTTTCCTCAGCAGAACCATCCGCCTTCTCTGACTTCACTCCTCCCCTTCCACCTCCTCGCCTGTCCTAGAGGTTTCTGTTTTCCTGAGGGCCTTGCCTCAGGGAAAATAGTTATCACTGTGATGTAGATATTTCTGTTTGTTTGGTAGTTTCCTGCTTTCAACAGCTCTCACCCCCATTACCTTATTTGCTCTTCACAATAACCTTGTGAGTCAAGAGAAGGCAGGCGTTGTCAGTATCCCCATTCATTCTAAAATCTGGTCGTTCTAAAATCTGATCATTTTGTAAGTCTAGTTCGACAATTCCTCATACATGTATGTATTTGCATGATTTTTTTGTTTATTCCTTTCTTCCTCTTTTCCTTCCTTCCTCTTTCTCTTTTTTTTTTCTTTTTGGTTTTTAGATTTACTATGGAAGGAAGATGAAACCCATTTGGTTACTGCTTCCTTCTTACTTGAGCTGGTTGAGAAAGGAGCTTCGTTATTTTTGCCTTTAAGACAAAGTGTTTCAAGGGATGGGCTAGATTTACTCTCTTGCTAGCCTTTCCTTACGGTTTTAATTTCATTTGTTTTCCTTTGTGGTTGGGAGTAAGAAGAAAATTAATGAGACAGGAGACTTGTGTCATTCCCAGAGGAAGGAGTCCGGGTTGGAGATCAGACTTTGATCACTTGTGTCTCTCTTTCAATATAAAAACAAGTGAGAAACATCAAGAATGTGTTACAAGTATTTGGGAAGAAAACTGCTCCTTAAAAGTGTAGAATTTCAGGGGCGCCTGGGTGGCTCAGTCGGTTGAGTGTCCGACTT